TCTGTTAATACAGTGTTGCTCCTCAAAGAAGAGTCTAAAACTCAGAACCACCGACCAACTGGGAACTGCGGGATTTCAGAATCTGCACCTTAAACCTACAGGATCTGAACGCACTTTTTCACAACTGGTTTTGCTGATTTTTATTAAAATTTGAGAAGCACTGATCTATAGGATGTCTTCTTGCCAAGAAATACACTTGTCCTTTTCTTGAAACTATGGCACTCACTCAAGGGAAATCTATATCTATATCTGTATGTTTTCTTACATACAACTAGACTTTCTGAAACTGAGAAAACATATTTAACTTAAAGGAAAAAAATAGAACTATTTAGCTATGTTTTTAACGTTCTGTATAAATCAATAACAATTTACTCCAACACTGACCAGAAATTTGTCTGTTGGCAGTTTCTAGAATGCTTTGTGCCGTCCCTCAGGCAAAAACAAACTATAAATTCTCAAATTAAGAAAAAAAAAAAAAAAAGACAGCCAGCAAAATAATTTCTTCTAATAGTTCTTTAGCTGTTTTCACTATTTTTATGTAGACTTTCTTAAAAGCTGAGCTCCTTACGTGGGTGCAGTGATTACTTAGATGCTTTGCACAGCTCTTCCTCACTTGGGATTTTGGTGATCGAACAATAAGAATTATCATATTTCTATTTTTCAGCATTTCAAGGTTACATTTTCTTTGAGTCTCAAAGACTCTTAAGGTCTTTTGAACATTTCCTTGTGATTTTAAGTTTAAACTAGGTTGTTTGGTTTATGTCAGTATTAATTCATCCAATGAGAATTCTGTCATGTGTAGCTTTTTTTTTTTTTTTTTTTGCAGAACTGGGGATTGAACTCAGGCCCTTGTACTTGCCAGGCAAGCACTTATTCTACTGAGCCATCTCCCCAGCCCCACGTGTAACTTTTGATTTGCAATTAAGATACAGTAGAAAGGGGGCTGGTGAGATGGCTCAGTGGTCTAAAGCACCTACTTAGAATAAGCTTAGCAAAGCACAGGGACCACAGTTCAATCCCCCAGCACCCCTGGTGGACTGAGCTGGTCACACACACACACACACACACACACACACACAAATAAATAAAATTAAAAAAAAAGATACAGGAGGAAAAATTCAACAATATTATCAGATTTTCTTTAAATGATTTTTTAATGTATTATTGAAGCTTAATGCTTGATATCTTGTGGGCTTGATATCTGAAGTTTATGAGAGGAAACACTTCTATGCTCCTCTTCAAATTGTCAAAGACAATACTTCATTCTCTATGTACTTTAACACAATAGAATTTTCTGAATGATCAATTATGTTTATATGATAAATCAGTAATCCAGGCAGGATTCAATGAGATAAAATTTGTCATTCTTTAATTTTTATTATTATTTTACTTAATTTATTTCTGTTTGCAAATATTTGATCTGTTTCTCAATAGTTTACTTATTCACATACATGACTATGAAAACCTATACAAAGGGCTAAAGCATTTGATATCTACTCAGTATTTACTATTAGCTAGAAATAATATTTATGTAACATACTCTAGGTATAGTCACTGTACTAGAAACTATAGTTGACAAAATTTTTTTTTTTTAGAAAAAGCCTTTGGCTGGAAATACATGTTAGTGCATGATGTTATCCTAGGCACTCAGAAGGGTGAGGCAGAAGCCAGTATGGACAGCTTAAAGAGATTCTGCCCAGAAAACCTCTTTGCCTTGATAGTACTTTTTTGTTTTTTGTTTTTTTTTTGCAGTACTGGGGGTTGAACTCAGGATCCTGCACTTGTCAGGCAAGTGCTTATTCTACTGAGTATCTCCTTGGCCCCAATAGTGCTTCTTTAGGTAAAGAATATAAAAACAATTTAAAAACATGCTAGAAAAATTGGAAAAAATAACCCAAAAATAAAAACAAAGTCACTATAATATAAGAGGGTAGCAGCTATCATTTACTGAAGGTTTACTGTGGCAGGGCATGGGCTTAGTCCTTAATGGAAGCTCAGACTTAATTTTTTTTTTTTTTTTCCTCTTTGGCAGAACCAGGGATTGAACTCAGGCCCTTGTGCTTGCCAGGCAAGTGCTTCTTCTACTGAGCCATCTCCCTGGTCCCTACTCTGACTTAATTTGATAGCCTCATTTCACAGATAAGAACGTTCAGAATGGGCAACGTCAGTAATTTAAAATTGGTGCTTAAATCTAATCTGATATCTTAGTCTCTATCATTGCTGGGACAAATAAACACAAAACAACAACAATCACAACAGCAAAACAAACAAATGCCAACACACACAACTTAAAGAAGAAGTTTGTTTTTCTATTTTTTAATTAATTTTATTGAGAAAGATCTCCATCAGGTTTTTGAAACTAGCAGTTAATTGGTAGGATTCTCACCCTGACTAACTATATATGCTGGTATGTGTGAACTAAGCAACTGCACCGAGGATAGCAATGTGTAATACGAGGGCCATGCTTGCAAAGCATGTCATTCTGCTCCCACTTTCAGTCCCTATTTGGCTGGGTCCGAGGCGGAAATTGTATGGCGGAAGGGCTTAGCAGAAGAAAGCTGCTTGAACCATGGCAGGCAGAAAATAGAGGAAGAAGAGAGGTGCAGAGCGGTAGATATAGTCTTCTAGGTCAGGTCCCCAGTAACTTGCCTGTTTTGCTTCTTCCAACTGGGCATGTCTCTTAATAGCGCATTCAACTGTGAATTCATTGGTAGATTCATCCATTAATTAGTATAATGCCCACCTGATCAAATCACCTTCCAAACCCATACAATCTGGGGGGAGACCTCCTGGATCTAAGCCATAACATTCTGCCCTTGGTACCCAAAAGGCTCATATCTATCTCATTATGCAAAATGCATAAATCCATCTCTAGGAGTTACCAAAGTTTGAACAATTTCAGCATTCCTGAAAAATTCAAATCTAAATTCTCCTTTGAGACCTGAGGAAAACTATATCCTGTGAGCTCCTGCAAAAATCACAAAGAAGCTGGGCAAAGTGGCACACACCTGTGATCCCAGCACTCAGGAGGCTGAGGCAGTAGGATTGCTAAGAGTTCAAAGCCAGCCTGGGTTATAAAGTGAGTTCTAGGCCAGTGTGAACTACACAGAAAAATCTTATCTCAAGAAGATAATCAATCAATCAATCAATCAATCAATCACAAGGAAATTTAACCCCAACCTCCAATGGCAATGGCATAGTGGGACAGAAAAGAAGGGGACCAAAGCAAGACACAGCAGGGCAAATGCTGTGTCCTGTAGTTCCATGTCCTGCACCATGGCAAGCTGTGGCAGCATTTGAGTTCCAAATGGCTTAGAGGGCCCCGCTCCTATGGCACTGCTGGTTACAATCTTCATGGCCTCTCTCTTGGAGTGGTTCTGGTCAATGCCTGTGACCCTCCTCAGTAGATCTTCCGTATTCCTGGTTCACAGTTTCAGTCCATGGTGGCTTGTTGCAAGGCAGAAATGACATGGTGGCAGGGACTGGCAGAGGATGTTCATGTGATGGTGGCAAGGAAACAACATAAGGAGAACAGCCAGGTAAGGAGATATACCTTTCCAGGTCACACCTCCAGCCACCCACTCCTTCTGTCTCTTCTCATCAGGCCCACCACTCAACAGCATATTTTGTTATGAATTCATCAGTGGATTGACTCATCACTGTACTTTTTAAAAAATATATTTTGTATAGGGTCTCACTCCTTAGATCAGACTCAGTGATTCTCCTGTTTTCAGTTTCCCAGGTGCTGGGATTATAGGTGCATGCCACCACGCCCAGTCTTAATCCCCTTCTCAGGGTACCCCAGGGGCAGGGCCAATACAGCAGGCCAGGGATCGAACCCTCAGCCTCTCCATCTGCCTAAGTAGGCGCCTTAACCTGCTGAGCTATCTGGCTAGCTCCCTCCCATCACTATACTGATGAGTATACTGGCTCAGTGACTCAGGCACCAAAAATTTAGTGGGTATGCACACCATGAAGAAGCACTCTGATATTTATCCTCTTGTGCTCTTCCTTTTAGAAAAGGTCTAGTATACCAAACTTCTGCTGTGCTAAGATTTTGGCAATTCATCCTTGGGGAAGCAGAACACTTATGACAAGAATCACACAAGCTCCTGGCAGGGGGCTGTGGGGGGAAAGACACGTAGTATCATTTTAGTTCCTCAGAGGGTTTCTATAGGAACATAAGAATAATGAGAGTATTGTGTAGCTAAAAAGCATGGATTTGATGTAAGATGTTATAGTTTAGATCTGGAATGTATCCCCAAATCCCATGCGTTTGGAATATGATTGGATTGTGGGGCATTCTACTCTCCAGGGGATTTGCCCATTGGTAAATTCACTAGCTGAATGCCCTGGGGGAGGGGTCGTGGGGAGTAGTTTACTTCCAGCTTCCCCTTTTCTCCTCCTCTCTTCCCTTTCTGTTTCTATGCCCTGGCATCATGCTGTTCTTCCTCAGAGCCTGTTGGCCACTAACCCACTGTTAGTCAAAATAACCCTTGCCTCTTTCAGTCTTGGAGGCTGGTTATTGTGTGCCAGTGAATGGAAGGTCGCTTGTTAGAGGCTCCAATCCAAATGCAATGCAGGAATTTTGAGGGGGATGTAAACATTAAATCCATTGCACATGTCTTTGGGTTATTTCTCCTGACTTTTTGTTCCAGTCCAGTTCCTGTACCTTTAAGAACCAACTCAGTCTTCTTGTGTTCTGTGAAGGAAACTTTTCCTGACCTTGACCTTATCAGGTAGAGGTTATTAGATTACATTCTCCTTCATCTTTTATTATTCCTTGTTTCCTACATCTCCATAGTACACATTACACTGTGTGGAACACTGGTGTGTGTGTGTGTGTGTGTGTGTGTGTGTGTGTGTACTGCAAGGAGCTTATTGCTGCTGTCTGATCACAGATGAATGTAAAACATACATCTTCTATCTGCACAGATTTCCTTGAGGCATCCAAGGCACAGACATAGTATTTACGAGTGGTAGACACCCGAGAAGTAACTTTTATCTTAGATGGTACGGTTTAGTAAAGGGTTACTCAAATTATTCCATTAGAAACAAAAAAACCCCTACAAGTGTATTTTTCCGAAAACATTTCCTAAATTGAGCATTTGTAGAGACTTCCAGCCTTCTGAGATAACGCCAGCATGACAGAAAGAAAACAAAAACAAAAAACAAACAAAAAAATCCTGAACCATGTATTACAAATCGAAAGTGAAATTAGGCACAGCTTTTTGTTTCTGTTCCTGGCTAGTCACTGGAGACAGCTTTGGTGTTTCAAGCAATGGTGAAATTTGAAAGATAAAATCTCCATTCGAAGTTTTCATTTTCTTTTCACTTCTCCTGCGTTTTTTTTTTGAAGGACCCACGCCAGGGTCGCGGGTTCCGTGGACGCCGCAGATCGCAGGCCCGGCCCTCGGTTCCCGGAAGGCGGCGCAGGTCGGGCAGCTGGCGGCCGCGGCGGTGAGTGGGGCGGAGGGCGGGCGGCGGGTCCCCCTCGGTCCCCGGCGGCGCAGGACCTCACGCACAGGGCTGTGTTCGCTGTGTTTCATTAGGAAACGGAAACTTAGCGTGAGCCGGTCTCCCATGGTTCTCTCGGTGCCTCAGGGCCAGCGCTCGGGCGGGTTCGAGACTCTGCTCCCCGGCACAGGCAGGCATAGTCCTGCAGGCAGCCTCGCGGTGACACGACGCAGCACGGTTCTCTCTCTCTCATTCTCCCTCGTTCTCTCTCCCTCTCCCTCCCTCTCTCCCACTCTCCTCTCCCTCCCTCTCTCTCCTCGCTCCCTCCCTCTTTCTTTCTGGCCTCTCTCCCTCACTCCCTCTCTCCTCTCTCCCTCCCCCTCTCTCTTCTCTCCCTCCCTCTTTCTTTCTCTCCTCTCTCCCTCACTCCCTCTCTCCTCTCTCCCTCCCTCTCTCCTCTCCTCTCCCAACCCCCCTCTTTTGGTAGAAGGATCCAAAGGAAAATATTACAGTTAAATACAGGTTATGGGAGGCCATAAGTTTCGACTTAGTTCGTGCACCTGGGCTCCAAGAGAATAGGCTGAAAATCAAAATGGGCTCAGCCATGGTAAAGAGCCAGTAATACTTTCTGAGAAACTAAGAGAAGGCCAGGTCTCCTAAACTGGACACTTTCCAGCCACATGCTAATGAAGTTCCCTGGCTCTAGTCCTGACAAAAAATAGCCTGAAGGTAACCAGCCAGTTATCTATCCATTGTTCTACTTACAGAAAAAGTAACATTGAAATGAGCCCACACTTTCTGTTCTGTTTTTTTTTTTTTTAGCTCTTTCTGTAAAAAAGCTGGGGAACACTCTTAGTTCCTCACCCCTTGAACCCAGGACCTTTGCCCAGAGCTAATTTCAGACAGGGTCTCCCTAAGTTACTCAGACTGGGCTTGAACTTGAGGTCCTCCTGCTTCAGCCTTCCGGAGTGCTATAATTCCAGGCCTGTACCACCGTGCGGGCTTGCACAGTCTGTCTTACAGAATGCAGTATTGTAGGCTTCAAGAATGGCAAAAGCTGGGGGCTGGTGAGATGGCTCAGTGGTCTAAAGCACCTACTTAGAACAAGCTAAGCTAAGCAAAAGCACAGCAACCAACAAGCTAAGCTAAGCAAAAGCACAGCGACCGAGGTTCAATCCCCAGCACCACATGCCAGCCAGCCGCGCCTCCTGGTGGGCTGAGCTGGCCACACACACACACACACACACACACACACACACACACTAAATAAATAAATAAATAAATAAATAAAAAAAAGAATGGTAAAAGCCAGCAAAGGCCTTTAAAATAAATTGTGTGATTTTGACTTTGATACTTTTTTCTTGCCAACCCTCTCTACCCTCTCTGACATAGATACAGGAATATTTAATCATATATGCCATATATGTCGAGGCCCAAAAGTAATGGGTGTATTAGGAAAATAGGAGGATGGTGGTTGGTATTATTATTATTTTTTTACTGCTGTAACAAATGACATGGACAGTGATGACACACACACTTTTGTTTCTAGTAGTAATCTGTAGGTTAATGGTCCTACCCAGGTCTCTCAGAGCTAAAGGCAAGGTTTTGGCCTTCAGGATGAATCCCCATCTTACCTCTGGTGTCTACCCTGCTTGGATCAGAGTGCTTCCTTCATTTTCAAAGCTGGTGATGTAACATCTCGGCCCACTTTTTTGTGTTCACATCTCCCTCAGACTCTCTTTGGATTTGGCTTTCACTTTTTATTTCATGTTTTGAGATAGGTTCTTGTAGTGTTGCCCAGGCTGGTCTCAGCTCCTGGGGTCAGGTGATCCTCTTGCTTCAGTCTCCCAAGAAGCAGGACCTACAGGTGTCTCCCAACGCAGCCAGCTTCCTCTTGGTGAGGACCCTCTCGCAAGAGAGCCTCCATGGATAATCCACACTGATCTACATTTTTTTTTTTTTTTTCTGGAACCAGGGATTGAACTCAGGCTCTTGCACTTGCCAAGGAAGCACTTATTCCAGTGAGCCATCTCCCCAGCCCTGATCTACATATTTTAAAGACAGCTGAGTAGCAACCTGAATTCTATCTAGACCAGTGATGCTGAAGAGCCGATTACCCAAAATGTAACCCAAAACCCACTTACTTAGCAGAGCCAACACTGTAATTAAACCTGAATACTGAAGTTTTAGTTTAGAAAAAAACCAATTTATATGCTGACATATTTTGTCTTAGAAAAAAAAAATAACGTGTGCCATAGGTTCATCTCCACTGAGCTAGAGCCTTAATTCTCCTTTACAGTATAATCTAATATTTTCAGTTTCTTGGGATTAGGGTATGGGCATTTGAAGGGGATTTTCATTTTGCTTGCCACATGATTGCATTGAAGGAAAGAATTACCATACATATATCTCAGTGCAAAGCCCGAGATTATTCAGCTGGTAAAGGTGCCAAAGAATGCTGGGGGTGTTGGTTGCAAAGTAAACTGAGAGCTTTTAATACACACTTTAAACATCAGCATTGTGACAATAATTTTAAAAGCAATGGAATAATGTTACAGTTTCTATCTTTTGGAAATATAATAATGCGGAAGACTTCCTATGTGGGGGATGTATTGCGGAGCATAAACACCCAAGTCAAGACTGGACAGCGTTCTATGAGCTGAGTAAGGCTGTGCAGTGCGGGGGCTTTGCAACGACTGGACACAGATGCAGCACTAATTAAAGTGGCTGGAAAGAGATGAAGGGAGGTGGAGTAAGGTCCTTTGGGGAAGTCAGAAGAGGCTTCAAGAGCTCGGAGGTCGTTTGGAGTGGGCCTTACAGGGCGTTACTAGGTGGAGTCTAAGTGTAGGACTCGAGGAGGCACGTGAACACTGAGGTGGGAGAGAAGGTCCTTCAAGGAACCCTGTAGCTTGGTCACCAGGCTGTTTCATGGTGGGTGAGTTGGGATTAGCCTGTGCCACACCTGGCAAGCACACTGCTGATGCCTGCTTACAACTCAGGTGCATCTTCTGGATTTACAACCTGCCCCTTGGATTTCTTTATTTTCCTTTTTCTCTTTTTGAAACAGTGTCAGGCTATACAGTTCAGGCTGGCCTTGAGCTCACTTTGCAACCCAGCCTGGTCTCAAACTCGCAACAATCTTCCTGTCTCAGTCACCCGGGGGCTGGGATTGCAGATGTGCACCACCATGCCCAGTCTGCCACTTGTATTTATGACCTATCTTTTTTTTTTTTTTTAAGACACGTTTATTCAGCGTCATGATCAGACTATTACATTTAGCAATCAACAGCATGGATACAAAAAAAGGTCTATGTTAAAACCCTTTGTTGGAATGCTTTACACTTTCCATAGAACAGAAACTAAAATAACCTGTTATACAATTAGTCACAAATACAGTTCTTGAGTTTTTTGCCCATATGCATGAGTATTACCTAAACCACGTCTTCTTTGTAGCAGCGAGGCCCTGCCACCACTGTGCTTCGCTGAGTTCACAAATCTGTTGTAACCTGTAGCTTCCCTGTCACTCCTCTGGCTCTCCTCTCCTGCTAAGCTTTGTTTCCTGGAAGTGTTTAAAACCTTCTGGCACTGCCATAGCTACTGCTGCTGCTGGAGTTACCATAGCCACCTTGATTTCGTGGTTTGGTAAAATATTGGCCTCCACCTCCATAGGAGCTTCTGCCTCCAATTTCCCTTCACGGGTCCGAAATTTGAAGACTGACTGTTGTAACTGCCAAATTCATTATAGCTTCCAGCACCTCCATAATTGCTTCCACCACCACCGCCAAAGCCACCTCCGCCTCCTCTGTTGTTATAGCTGCCACTCCCGCCATAGCCACTGCCCTGGTTTCCATAACCCTGTCCACCACTTCCATAGCCTCTGCTTCCTCAGAGTAACCAGGGCTGCCTCTTCCATAACCACCATCATTGCCAAATCCATTGTAGCCATCTCCACTACCACCATATCCACCCCCACCACGGCTGCCACCAAAGCCACCTCGACCACTGAAGTTTCCTCCGTGACTGAAACTGTGATTGCCACCAAAACCTCCTCCACGACCACCACCAAAGTTTCCAGAATCACTTTGACCTCTTTCGCTAGATGACGCACTAGCCATCGCCTGCTGGGACAGGGCTTTCCTCACTTCACAGTGTGGCATTTTTGAATGAAAGTCTTATCCACAGAATCATGGTCATCAAACGTTACAAAAGCAAAGCCTCTCTTTTTTCCACTGCCTTGATCAGTCATAATTTCAATCACTTCAATTTTTCCATATTGTTCAAAATAATCTCATAGGTGATGTTCTTCAGTATCTTTTTTTTTTTCCAAAGTTTTATTGATAAACAGATAGCTATGAGACAGTTTCAAATCAAATCGGAAGTACAGTTTCAACAAATAATACACTGCATATATTCTTCTTTCAGTATCTTTTTTAATGCGACCAAAAAGGATCTCCTTCATTGTTAAGTGGGCACCTGGTCTTTGAGAATCTTCTCTTGAGACAACTCTCTTTGGTTCCACAACTCTTCTATCCACTTTGTATGGCCTTGTATTCATGGCTGCATCCACCTCCTCCACAGTGGCATAAGTGACAAACCCAAAGCCCCTGGAATGCTTGGTGTTCGGGTCTCTCATTCCCACGCAGTCTGTGAGTGTTCCCCATTGCTCACAATGGCTCCTCAGTCTCTCATCAGTTGTTTCAAAGCTCAGCCCTCCGATGAAGAGCTTCTGTAGTTGTTCGGGCTCCTTGGGAGACTCTGACTTAGACATGACGGCAGTCGGAAGAGAGCCTGATGATGCTTCCTCCGCGGTGTCCACCAGCAGCTATGACCTATCTTTTTTTTTGGTAACAGTCTATGCATTGTTCATACGTAGCCTTAGTGTTCTTTTGTACAGTACAACCTTGTTTATATAGTACTGTAACTTTTGTGGATCATACTGTACAGTGCAGTACTGTAGTTTTATGTTGTTATAAATTACACTGCTGCATTTAAGAGCTACGCAA